TTAATAACTTAACAATTTAATTAGTAAATTTAATTAAATTTAGACTATTTAAAAAGTAAAAATGACCGATTTTCCAAAATTTATATTTTTTATAATTAAAATCTGTAAATCTGAAATTTTTTATGATTAAAATCTGAAAAATATTTTCCTTAGTTCTCGTGTTTTTCTCAAAAGAAATAAATAATTTGAGTTAATATTGTATATATATGTATACATATGTTTTGTATATATATGTTATACATATATTATCTTTTTGTACATAATTGTAAGAACAATAATTTAAAGCAAACTATGATAAGAATCTTGACTTTAAAATATTTAATTATTAAGTAATTTTAAAAAATATACATTTGAGTTACATGCGTTTTCATGCAAAAAATAATATTTAAAAGTCTGAAAGATTCGAACAGAACGACTGACAGAATTATAAATGATAAAAGGAATATATAAAATTTTTATTATCTGAATAAATACACTAGTTGAATGATTAATAAACTTGAAGCTGAAACACTATTCATTATATCGTGATAAATATGCATATATATATATATAGAGAGAGAGAGAGAGAATAAAAATCATTAATTTTAATTTGCAAAAATTATGTTTTCCAATACTTTAAAAAAATGTATATTTGTACATAGATATTTCACAAAATTATTTATTTATGTAACTACAGTAAAATAAAATTTTACATGCAACCTGTTTCATAAATATTATATTCATAAAACTAAATTTATTATTTTGCAAATTAAAAAATAAATGGACTTCCATTTCTCAAAATAAACATTGAAAACAGATATTACCCTCATCATTTGTTTAGTTTAATCCTACTTTTTACTTTATGTTTGTATTATACGCAATGGCTATGTCAGCTATCTGAAAGTTATAGGAGATGTTGATAAAAAATAAGATATTGAAACGTATTATTTATATCAGATAAACTCATATTACAGTGTTATTATCTGTGTACCACATAAATTGAATGGAGCATTCATAAGAAAATTAAAAAATGTGTTGGAGTTCAAATATTACTCGTTAGAAATGAAACAACCCTGTGAATAATTTCGATAATAAATGTGTATTACATTTATAAACGTAAAACATATCAAATGCATGTGTTCATTTTAAATGGTAATATTTACTTTTGAAAGGAAAGTATAGTTTATAGTCGTAATTTTGTTAGACAACTTAAAGTAAATACAACAAAGTTTTATATTTTGCAATATTTCTTATTTATTTACTTGAGATGTTAACAAATGTTTTTAGTCACTACATCCTGCTCGCCCATGGCCGTACTTTTATTGATTCTAATACTTCATTCTTATTTTTTGGGACAGAAAGCAAACAACGCTATAAATAAACAGTTTCATTACTTGCTTTAATAAACTAAAAAAAAAAAATATACAGAAGGTCGAAACGAAAAAGTGTTAGTTTAAACTCTCCTATTTTATATCTGATTTACTTCGGCAAAGTAAATTTGCATAAGTAAACTCCTGATGCCACTAAATATTTTTTTTTTTTTTTTCTGGCAACGATAACAGCGATACTCCTGTGTTAACTGTAACAAACTCAAACCTGCTGAGCAAAGCAAACAAAACCCTTCAGTAAGCAAAGACGAAAAACAAAACTTTTTTTTTCTTTTTTTTTCTGAAACTTGCTTCTTTCTTTCTTCTTTGAAGAAGTGTTAGGATTCAAAAACAACCAAGAAAAGAAAGAAATAATAGTAACAAAAAAAAAAAAAAAAAAAAAAAAAAAAGGTGTGCAAGGGAGGTAGGCTAAAAACACAATATATAGAATATCATTTGTTAAGGTCATAAAAACCCCCGGGTTAAGTTTTACACGTTGGAGCATCTTACATTGTTCAAAAAACAATCAAACTGTCAGGAATGCAGGCACCTCCAGTGCTACCCTCTCAAGGAGTTAGTAAAAAAGAACTATCAATGAGTTGGTGGTGGAAGGGAAGTGAAGTGATGCTGCCAGGCTGGAATTCGCTGCGAGTTTTCGACCGAAATAGCACTGTTTTTATAGCCGTTACCCCGTCAGTAAATACGAAGCACTGAGAAAAGCGTGGAAGGAAAAAATAATAGTTGATTGACCCGGACTATTCTTGTGGCAATTTTGGAACTCGTCACATGGGAATACTTTCAATTATCTGTCCTACTAATTTAAAACTCGGTTGGAAATGCGTTTTCTTTTCCACCACTGTGAAATAGAATCGTTTTCAACACATTCTTAACGTTATTGCTTTATGGGACTTTTCTGTTCTGGTCATTTAAAAATAATTGAACGGAATAATTCAAACTGATTACCATGTTTTCTGAACTGTATTTAATCAAATATTGCGGTAAAATATTATATTATTCAATTTAATAACGGCATTTAAAAATGGCATTGTGTACGTTCAAATAATAGATGATTGACTTTTCTGATTTTGTTCTTTTAAAAATAATTGAAAATAATAAGTATTACAGAAAAATAATAATAAAACATGCAATAATCTCTACCTTGCACATTTGGGACCACAGCCGTGTCGGATTAGCGAACTTCTCCTAATCTGGCAAAATTGATAGAGCGTCTATATAGTTCTAACATGGATACCAAAGCTAAATGGATCTATATAATATATATATATATTGTGTTTATTGCAATCTGAATCTGTGTAGACAATATAAATAACTTCTGCATTAGCGCAATAGCTCCATGGTAGGCCTAGGCCGTCTGCCTATTAGCAGATTTCGAAACATGAGATGTTTTCTTTTTACGTGGTAAGGTTATTAGTCCTATGTCCAACACTCAACTGTCATATTAGACCTGGAACTAGGGTTTAAAGTGGATTAGGGACCAATAAAAACATCCATGGCACAGTCGGGTCTCGAACCAGAAACCTGTGGCACCGAACGTCGTCACTCAGTCATCAGGCCCCAATAAAAATATCCAACAAAATATTTTGTCATTCTAGCAACAACAAAATCAAAATTCCTGCATTTAATATCAATTATATTCTTTTAATTATTCATAAATTAATTAATTAATTATTATTATTAATTATTAGTTATTCTATTAAATTTATTTATTTAATATTAATATTCTTGTATTGATAAAGAAACACACCACAATAGAAAATTTAATACAATACAACAATAATTGAAACAAGTTATGACATGCAATGCTATTGGCAAGAAAAAAAACATGTACGTTTCTGTTTAGCAAAAGTATTTGATACATTGTTGCTTTCGTTATTCCTATAATCCATATCTCACATTTGCTAATAAAAACAACTGTAACCGCAAATGACCACCAACAATGCCATGTGCATGACCTTGAAATGGGTTTTTCTTCCTCCATTCCAGTTTCTAATGCGCAGAATCCTCGCCTTAACCACAAGTGACCTTCCCAGTATTGCTCCCAATTACGTGTAATAGAGACTGATGTAATGAATGCAGCTTCCGGTTCAAGGGCCCCCGTGTTCTGGGAAGAGGGCCGGACGCCAAATTGGGGCCGCCCTGGCCTCTCTCCGCTGGAATTAATTCCCGGTCGTCGCTTCTGCCATGGTGCGAAATGGACCGGCGCGTCATTAATTCGACTCGAAGGATGCGTTTCGCAGTTCATTGGGTTGAGTGATGCGCTCATTGGAAGTTTTGCAGAATGAGCATATCGCATTAAAAAATAAAAAAGAAATAGCTGGTTTATTAATTTTTTATTAAAATCATATGCATTTAGCTTGTTGCTTTTCCCCCATAAACTAGATAACTGCTTGATTATAAAAAGGGATACATATATACACATACATAGTGCTTTCATTATTTAATTTTGCTTTCACTACCTAATATTTATAAATATTAGTTAGTATCTACTATATATATATATATATATAGGTATATAGGTATATATATATATATATATATATATATATATATATATATATATTTATCTCTGTGTGTGAGTATATATATATATGTATATATATGTGTGTGTGTGTGTGTGTGTGTGTGTATATGTAATAAAAAATATATATAACTCCATATAACTTTCTTATAAATTATAGAAAACAAGCTACCACAATAATATTTTTTTAAAAAACTAGGCGTTGCTGTGACCAATCCTCAATGTCCTGCAGTGCGGGACGGACATCCCATGATTAATCTACTCATGGTTGGAAGGAAACAGTCATATGTCCAGAGTAAGTCTTACAGTCATATGAGACAGATAACTACAGCGTCGATTACGAACCACTACAAACATCCATGGCACCACCGGCATTCGAATTCGAAGCCTGTGGCACCACACTCGGCCATTCAGGCCCAAAAAACTAAGATTTTATGAAATAAAAACATACAAATGAAATAATATCGTACAACAATTTTCAACAGAAATGCTTCTTTTGAATATATAAATGATGTTTGAGATTAAAGATTGATTGTTTATGTAAAAGGGTTGAAGGTTTACATAGATTTATTTATATATAGATATATGTATACTCTAACGTTTGATCTATATAAATGTATCTGTATATCTATCTCAATCTATATATCTCTATATATATGTACTTGCATATGCATTTTATAAACATATAAATATATACAAATTCAATAATATCTTACAACAAATTTCTTAAAAAAACGGTTCATTTTCTTAAAAAAATTAATTTGTTTATTCCGGACAAAATAAATGACTAAATGTCTCACATTGAACTGAAATTTACTGGAAAAAAAATCTAACCCCGTCGTTATATATATTTTTTTGAAATGTTAATAGTTGTTGTTGTTGTTTCTTATCCCACTTGGCTGGCCAAGCCCACGAGCCCATACGTGCTCATGATTGAAGGGGAAGGAAACAGCTTCTGTTGTGATGGAGCACCCGTAGGTAGAAACCTGACTTTTGTTCCGTGACGCTCTTACAGTCATATGAGACTGGGACCTGCAAGTGGATTCGAACCCGAAACCTGTGGCACCGAGCGCCAGAGCGCTAGACACTCGGCCATTCAGGTCCCAAATTTGGCGGTGTTCCCAGGTGGTCACCCACCCAAGTACTGACCGCGCCCAATGATGCTTGACTTCGGTGATCTAACGAGAACCGGTATATTCAGCATGGTACGGCCGTTGGCTCTATGTTAATAGTAATTTTAATATATATCATGATGATTTCAGACTCGTTTTCGCAAAACTCATTTGCATAACTTAAAACTTAATGTTTCACAAAACATCAACTGAAGAAATTGCTCCACAAAGTATGAAAATAAAATGGGATTATTTTGTAAAACTAGTTTCAAAAGAGACATTTTATAATCTAATATTTTTAGCTGGGATAATGTAATTAACCACTGTCATGCGAAACAAATCTAAGTGCTTAATTTTAGTCACTTGTATAATTAAATTACTCATTTAGGTGACATATATTAATGTTTCATTCTGTATCTCCCAAGAGCCTACAAATTATTTACGAAATAAAACTAAATTAATAAACTTCACAATTAAAAATATAATGCAAATAGTAAATTTATTAGCGAGTTAAGGTTTTCATAAATTAATGAAGTACATTTTTTTTAATACAATAATTTAAGTATTTTAAATAATAATATTTAAGGTTTATGAGTTAATATTAATTCCCATTATAGTGAAAATTTAATTAACTTTGTTTACTTAGAAATTACTTTGTTAAAATTTTTAATCTCACCTTAAGATTCACAGAAAATTTTGACAACTTTTAAGAAAAATATAAATTGGAAACTATAAGTACAATAAGAAAAGTTAATTATCAGAAAAAAAGCATTTCATTTAACTATTATTAAAATAGTTTGAATTATACGATTAATAATTTATATTCTATACTCATCAAATTTTTAAATTTAGTTTGCATACTCTTTAATTATTTGTTATTATATAGCAATCTCATATTATGGTTTGTAGTCCACTTTAAACCATAAGTCCCGGTCTAATACGATTCTAGAGCATTGGGCGTAGGGCTGACAACACTATCACTTATATTATTCCATAATGAACGTTTCTTGTTTCGAAATCTGCCAGTTGGCAAACAGCCTTGCCCACCAAGGGGCTGTTGCGCCGATGAAGAAGAAAAATACTTTTTTTAACTTATATAATTTTAAACGGAAAGCTAGTTTAATTTATACTTGCTATTCCAGATAGCATAATATGAAAACCTGTAAAATATGTAAAAATTTATACTTTTCATAAGAAATGAAAAATTGACATATTTATATTTCTTAATAAATTTTTAATTACATTAACAATACACATTTAATATTGTGTTCTAATAGAACACAATATTTTTTTCTAATGCAGCTGTCTTGGATGCCTTAAGGCAAGCGCTGCACAGACGTTACTCACTTCGCATAACCCAGGGAGGGGGGGCGTGGAACTTGAAGATAAGCCATGGAAGCGAAGTAACAATGCCCCCGCAACGCTCTACGATCCTATTAGACCGGGACTTACGGTTTAAAGCGGATTCTGAACCACTACAAACAACCATGGCACCGCCGGGACTCGAACCCGAAGCCTATGGTACCGAGCGCCAGACACTTGCCCATTCAGATCCCATAAAACGCAATATCTATTATCTTTTTTTGCACTCGGTTTTCATGCAGTTATAATCTCATTGTCTCGATATCTGCGAAAAGGCAGACGGCCTTGGCGCACCATGGGGCTGTTGCGCCAACGAGGAAGGAAGGGAAAAGAATATCCTCCTAATACTTACCAAAATATTTTTTGATAATCTCTTAAGAAAAAAATTGAAAAATATAAAACTCTTAAGAAAAATAAATTATTAGAATAAGAAGACACATAGCTAAGCAAAAAGGTAAAATCGTGTAAAAATCACAATTATGGTTTGAACTTTTCAATTAGCAATTTATTCTACAATATTTAACAAATACTTCAATACTTATTTATATATTAATGTTGTATGGTTTCACAGTAAATATAGATTTTTCTGGCATTAATATATTTGGAGCTTTTAAAGCCGTGCAAAAACTTGTATGTACATTTCCATATTGAAGTTCAAAGATGTATGCAGTACAAAAAAATATAATAATAAAAAGGAAATACTTTAAACTTTGGCAATTGAACTCGTTGAATATTTGTGATTAAATAAACTTAAGTATTTAGGAAAATTCGTTATAACCCATAATGATGTTTTTGAAGAACTATTCAATAGTAATTGTTGCAAACTGTAACATCCCGGCCTATTGTACTATGTCAATAACGATTTCAAGAAGAGGGTAACTTTCAGGTTAATGGGGACACTTTAAGTTTTATTTACAAGTACTATATATATTGATTTATTTAATATATATGTATATATATTTATTTAAGACAATCCGTCAAGAGGGGAGGGGGCAATTTCCCTCACTTCTCTTTAGAGTAGACATTTTTCAGCTAGTGGTCTATCACCTATCACGATGGAGCAACTCATATTATATCGTATTCAGTCTATAATTGTTTCGACTTGCGAAGGATGCCCATGCATTCACTAATTTCCTTATTGTACATGATGAATATCTGCTAATAAAATTTGAGTGACAGTTTGTTCTCATTAGTATAAACACTAATTGCATGTACTATAACTATCCATAATACTGCTTACCTGCTGTCAAATTTAAGTGATGAGTTTATATATATTTCAAATAACATACATTCCTCTCTCCCGGGAATGAAATGCCAAAACTCTTCTCATGAGAAAAAAAATGTTTCACAAACCCTAATTTAACAAATTTTTTTGTGTTTAAATATTGATATCAATTTTGTTACACGAAAAATATATTTTTACCAAACTAATACAAATATATTTTAAATGACCAAACTAATACAAATATATATTTTTTTTATTATAAACGACAATATATTTTTATCTCTGGACAACATTATACTTCACGAACACTCAGATTAAAGCCTCTATAATATTTGACACATTCTAAGAATTATGATAATTTACAAGTTTTCTAAGATAAAAAAATTAAGTGAAAACTAAATATAAATATGCAACTTTTAATAGAATATTGAATATGAATTTTAAGCAAAGCATGAGAAAGAGACATAAGCTTCGTGACAACTAAGCTATAGGAAACTGAAATTTACATATAGCTGATTTTAATTAGCTTATTGATTTTAAGACACTTTCTTCTAATATGGAGACATTTTAATATTTGCTATATAAGCAAGACATTGGTTCAATAATATTCGAAGTAATTTATATTTCTAATTGAGGAGGAAATCAAAAAAATTAGAATAAATTCTTATTTAAATAAGTTAAATAGTTACATATTGCATGCCTTATAATTTAATTTATTTCTTTTGCAAGCTTAAAATTATAATTAGATCAGAATTTTGTTCCAGACTTCCAGAAATTGATGATGAAATTTCTGTATAACCTTGGAACGTCCTTTCAGTATTCTTTAAAACCGTAGATTTTAATAAGAATGTCAACATTCATTTACTCCTATTTTACAGAAACAATTAATCTTAGGTAAGGTACAAGCATTTTTTTTTACACTGCTCCCATTCCTAGGATATGTGGACTCCTTCCAGATGGAAAGATAAGACAGGAATATTGGTGGGCTTCATGTAAACTACGAACAGCCCACTGATGATGTTTAAGGTTTGATTTGGCTTGTCACTCAATGGTCCTTTTTTTACACACTTTAGGCTAATTGGACCAGTAACTACAGTTAAAAGTGGATTTCGAACCACCAATAAACATCTATGCTACCTTCAAAATTCGAACCTGAAGCCTGTGGTATCAAAACCGGAGAGTCAGCCTATCGGCCATCAGATCGCCGAGGATTGAGGAGAGGTCAGTGCCTAACGTGAAGACTTTTAAGAGTAACTGCCGTGCATTTGCACGTCGTATGGGAGAGAAGACGGAAAACTATCATCAGACAACCTGACTATCCATGAGAGATATTTTACACATATTATCTCAATCGTCATCGCATCTTATCGTTTCTGAAAGCAGTGACTTCAACAAAGCCACCAGCGTGTATGAATCAGGCTTAGGTACTATCATATTTATAAAAATATGTCAAGAATATTATGAGCGTTACATACGTAAAATTTGCTATGTACTGTTTGGTATGTTGTTAAGGTGATCATTGATGATGTTTCAATTTACGTAGACAGCAAAGTTGATTTGAAGGTCCATATAATGAAAATACTGCTATTTTAAATGGATAGATATAAAATTTCATACCACTTTATAGTGAATTAAAGTGTCTAAATTTTTGAGAGTTTAAAATTACACTAAAAATTTAAAAAAATTTAAAATTCTTTAATATAAAAATATTTATAAATTCTAGTAACATTTGTAGCAAACTTTAGGTTTAAAGAAAAAATGAAGGCGATTTTTCAGCAGCAAGACTTTATACATTGGAAAAATGATGAAAAGGGTGAGAGTAGTTAAAAAAGATTAATAGGACAGAGTAGAGGATCAAGCTCCCGAGGAACATGCTGTTTTACCTGGCGCTGCAGACCACCCACCGTTTTGTCTTCTAGCTTATCTACGATGCAGTGGAGGTAGGTTGTTTCTCCGACTTGAGTGGTGACATTTCGAGAGGTGGCTGGCTCCACGACAAATTGTTTTCCATTCAATAGAGCCGCCGGCTGAACGATGGATAGTCCGGAGCTCTTGGAAAATGAATAGGACGGCTTAGGATAGATGGGTTTCACAGGAAGTTTTCCAGAATTTAATTGTTTGGCTGAAGCACCTGAAATAAATGATGCTCTTGTTATTATGCCTGGTATCATTTACAATAGTAAGATTAATAAGGTGCCTTACCTTTTCTAATATATTAATGTTCCACTAAGTTTTTTAATGTTAAATACATCTTTTAGCAGTTTCATTAAAATAACTATGAAAGTGTATTAATCATTTCCTGGTTATATTTATAATTTATATTGTAGCTTAGAAACCCTTCTGGTATCAAGTATCTGAAAAATGTTTAGTAGATTTAAAAAGCATTTTAAAATAGATTTTATTTATAAACATTGGCCAAAATAGACTGTAGTTACTGCTTTTTTTAATTTATAAGTATATGAAATCAATGAATGTTCCCCATTTAGTTATGCTCATAAAGCAATGTTTTCTCTTGA